CTTCTAATTTTGTAATATCAAGTTGGTATTTTGTTTTGTGTATGCTTAATATCAAGTTGTATGCTTAATGCTTATTTAGTAATAATTAGTACTCCGTATTTAGTCTTGATTGGTGGCTTGTGACATGTGGGGCTGTCTGTATAACTAACACACACTGCGCTGCCCTAATGTTTTTTTTTTTTTTTAAATTTATAATTCAGGTTCTTGACTATTATATTTTAAATCTTATAAATCTGTCTCAAATTTATGAAGAAATAAATTGAGTTAACATATTTTCAAGACTCAACATTAAACATACATATCTACTAATATTAGTTTATAGGAAAATTGTATATCTTTGTTTCACAAAGTTATAAAGTAATAATTAGCATCATTTTTGAATTGAAAGTGGGGTGAAATATTGTTAAATGTCAAAGATGTTATGTTTTGTGGGGTATTTAGAAGGTATCTTAGCTTAATTATACCAATTACAATTGGAATCCTTTGAGCTTATTATATACTTATTAGAATAGCTTAATTTACATAAAGTTATGAATAAGGACTAATTGTGGTTGCATTTTTACAATGGCCTTGTTTGGTAAAAAATTGGCCTATAGGCCAATTTTGTCTTATTTGACCATTATTAATTGTTTGATTTAGTTAAAATATCTATATAAATGTTTTGTTAATTAGCTTTTTGCAACTTCAAAAGGCTAAAATTCAAAAAGTTACTCCAATCAACTTTTTCAATTAGCTTTTTGAGAAAAGAAATTATACCAAACAACTATCAGCTAACAACTAATTTATCAAACACTTTTCTACAATCAGCTAATGTTATCAACTATTTATACCCTCTAATTAACACAATCAGCTAACGCAAACAGCTATCAGCTAACAGCCATGTTACCAAGCAGGGCCAATATAGGAAAATAATGTCATTTCAAAGGCACTTCAGTGCTAGTTTGGTATTTTAATCATATCTCAACCTAAGAGTGTCCAAATGGGGTGATTCAAGTGGCATTAAAACGACAACTTAAAGGGATACAACTTTCCTAGAGATCACAAAGTCTGATTCTGACATCTTCAAGGTCAAAGTCATGCCACAAGTTACCGCGTGATCCCAAACGTGACACATATTAAACTTATATGCCTTGATGTTGCTTGTCATGCCACTTGTCATGAGGTAACTATACTACCCTCGTGACAAGAACTTATGTGCAGCAATTATGCATATCTCGACGTCTACCACGTGGTAACTCCGATCCCCTCATGATACAGAGTACAATCTTGGTTATAAATATATGGCTTGACCTCGTTTGCGAGAAGAATTTTGATTTTTACACTTTGTTCAAACTTGTATTTTAGATTTTAGAGAGAAAATCCTTCCTATGGTTTCAATTGAAGATTGTTCTTGAAAATTTTGTACACGAAACAGTTTCATGTCCATTACTTTATATGCATGGACTATTGGCATTGTACACGATTTCAACTGAGGTGAGTGCACCTTAGCTTGATTCACATTAATTTGGGGTATTGAACGATGGCCTTCAGGCCTTGGACGACATGGACGTTTTCACGTACAGCTTCCCCTGTTCACACAATAATCTAATCCAATCATGTGCCACTTCTGACCTCTCAATTCAAGAGTCTATCGATCTTAAATTAATTGATCTGATAATTAACACATGAATGTGTGAAGACGCAATCTAGGAAGGAACTTCCAGTAGATAGAGTTCAAAATATGATATTCTTATCAGATAATGGAAGTGTTGGAAAGCGTTTACATTAGTGAGAAGCAGAGAGGAAAAGTGATGCTTAGAAGATGAAGAAGAAGCATCGAGAAGCAGAGAAGGAAAAGTGATATTATTGATGAAGATACATTGGTTTATATATGGGAAAATAAAAGAATAAAAGAGGAAGGGAGGATATCATTATTTTTATCCTCCAACAGGAAGCGTATGATAAATGCGGTTAGCTAATTGTGTTAGTGAGTTTGACAAATTGATAACATTAGCTGATTGTGGAAAGGAATTTGATAAAGCAATTTGAGCAGCTTTTTGAATTTAAAATATTTTAGAGCAATAAATTATTACAAAACACTAATTAAATACATTCATATTAATTATTTAATCAAATTAAACAGCTAATACTTGTTAAATAAATTAAATTAGTTGATAAATTAACTATTTTACCAAACTAAGCTAATATATATTACTAGATATTTAATGCAAATTTTGTAGGACATGCACATGTCAGATACTACGGCCTATTCGATCTAAGTCACTGCACATTAGAGTCCATCACCAAAAAGGGCAAAAGGTATCTCTGGATTTTTTAAAATTATTTTTATTTTATTGGAGTTATGTGCCTGTTGTCGGTACTAAATTATATATATAGCTCGCTTAACATGAATTAATTCAAACCTAATATACAGTTGAGTGCATTATTAGAACGGAATATGAACAAAAAAAAAGTGGAATATGCGCAAAGGCTTTTGTATTAATTAAATTCAAGTTGCAAATGAATGAGAAGTGTTAGGATCAACACTTACCACCTCAAACCTGTACTGTGACCTGACTTTGATACTATTTTTTAGATTAAGTGTTTATTATTATGTCAAAAAGCTATAGCTTGTAGCAAAGATGTTATACAAATTGTGTAAAATACTCGCTTAGAGAACTTTAGCTCTTGATATCATCATATAGAAATTGTAAAACTATATATACATTAATAAGAAGTTTGCAAACTATTAATTGCTATACAATTTAATGAGCTAAAATAGGCTACAAAGCAACAGTGCAGACCTATTCTACAGGATAGAAAAAATAACCAATAAAAATTTAATTAAAAGTAATATATATGATTAATCCTCAATAGGTGCAATTTTATTTTCTTATACGAGACAAACTCAACAAGAAGATTATACTTATAGCTTGTTGTGCATAGCTTATAGCTTGTAGTGTCCAATTTCCTATTTTCTTGTCATGCCTTCATGTTGTAATACCAATGTGGTTATAAATTATTCTTCCAACTAATTGGCCTCTTACAGCCGCTTTACGATACAAAATAATGCTATATTTATTCTACATTTTACTCTATATTTTATTTCTTGATTGATGTGACATTTTTAATTAATTTAAATTGATAAAAAGTGGGTCAGTATTTGAGAGTCCACAAATCACCTGTACTTAAAAAAAAAAAAATATCAGGCATTTCGGATATTGCAAATTATGCCCTGGAAACGTGTTCACCATGAATGGTGAACACGGGTCCAAACGACGCTATTTTTACGTAAAAATAAAAAATAAAAAATCACGGATGTGGTGTTAACGGCGCGCGTTTGATCAAATTATGAATTTTCTGTTATGAGATTATGAATGTACTGTAAATTCATAATCTCATAACAGAAAATTCATAATCTCATAACAGAAAATTCATAATTTATGAATGTTGAAGAAGCTTGTGCTACAGAGGAGCAACCATGGTTTCGGACGGGAATGTGTAGGCATGGTTCCAAAGTGAATGTGCAGGCATGAATTCATAATTTATGAATGTCCGAAATCATTGCTCACCTCAAATTAAAGTGAAACCGCGAAATGTGAAAATGAAGAAGAAAAGTCACGCGAGTAATTAAGAAAAAAAAAAAAAGATAACGGTGCACTAACACCGTTGGGACCGTGTTCACCATGAATGGTGAACACGGTTCCATGGCATAACGATTCTTTCGGATATGGGGTCTGGCGACTGTTTTGGGTTGGGCGATTTATGCTCAATAGCTCACCCCCTAATCATGTATATCTCATCAATGTGGGGGGCCCTTAGGGTTGGGGTTCAACATTTTTTTGGAAGAATGTATATCTCATCAATACATCGAAAAGAAAGTCTTGCAAATTTTTTTTAAAAAAATATTATATTATAATAATTTTTTTAATTTCCTTGTATCTTCAATTCTTAGCTACTATATTAAATTCTCAATGTTTTCTTTTATTTCGGTAGTTTCTATCACCTGAGGTATTTTCTATGCCCATTTTTTCAACCCAAAAAGAAAAAACAATCATGTAATTAAAAAAATACGTGTGGTTGTTAGTAACAACTAATAAAATTTTTAAAAAACTAATAACCAACAATACTAAATTTAGTGCAAAACTAAATTATATCCACTTGAGCTTGAAGTCCGTGAGATCACATGAAATTGAATAATTGATCCATCAATTCAGTGATCCACGAATTTTATTTTAGATATTTGGAATTTTCAATTAACATTTTTGAAGCTAATATAATAAAATATAATTCGAATATGTTTAATTCTGATAAAATTATTTTGGGTTAGTTTGAGTATGTTTAAATTGATGTTAGCCGATGGATGATTTTGGATATTAACTAATTTTAAAAAGAGTTAATTTCAGCGGAGATCCATTATCTTTTGTGACAAGTCCACGTTTAGTTTTAAACTATCAAATTTACCTTCAAACATTCCAAACTATTAAATTGTAGACACTTTGGTGTTTTGAGCAGTTTGCTAGCCTGTCATCGGTGGTCCGCTCCGATCCACTCAACTCCCACTAGGTCCACTACTCGCCAGTGAGCCCAAATCCAGCACCGTGGTCTCCGGTCAGCGTCCCCATATCCCAGGCAAAGTGTTCCTTCCCACTGCTCATTAAATAGTTAAGGAGTTATATATAGCAGTATAAGGGTACTTTTTTTTAACAAAAATACAGTAAGAACAAAAAAACAATTTTGTTCTAATAAAAATGAAGTGTTGAAGATGTATATATACCTTTATTAGCATATACAGGTTGGACAAAAATGTCTGCACGTGTTTAACTTATTGGACCAATAAACAGTATAGGTATTATTATTATATTAAACATTATCCAAATAAATTCAGTGAAAAGAGGGGACCCAAAAAAAAAAAAAAAAAAAAAAAAAAAATCCCATCCGATCCGTTACCATTCATTTTGAGATCACAAAACCTATAAATAGAATGATTTGATAGCGTTTCTCGGATTTGTGCTCCGATTGAGAGTTGGAGCATCGGATCCCTATCTGTGGGAAAAAATAGAGAGTTGAGAAGGGGGGGCATAAAATCCAATTAAGCAAGCTGCAGATCGAAATGGAGGCCAAAATCACCCAATTATTTGATTCCGTCGTCACATCTTTCTTCAACGGCGCCGGCGATCAACTTCCATGGTCCTCTTCTGATTCTATCCGCGTACGTCCCCATTCTCCCGATCTCGATCTCACATTGCTTTCAATTTTGTTCATTGCTTTCATTAATTAATTAATATAAGAAATGTGATGATAGCTTTTGAAATTTGAATTACAAATTGGGGCGCAGGAATGCGAAAGGGAAGTTACAGATGCTATCAACGACTGGTGTGATGATAATGTGAGGAGTGAAAGCATCATGCGATTGTCTTGGGCTCTTGTCCATTCTATAAAACCACCCGATGTACAGCGCGGCATAGCTATGCTTCAAGCTTCACTCAGCAAGAACAATAGCCCTTCACAGAAGAGAGAAAAGTGTTACCTGCTGGCTGTCGGCTATTACAGAAGCGGTGATTATTCAAGGAGCAGGCACATTCTGGATCAATCTTTGCAGGTACCTACTTTAATTTATTCATTTCGATCTTCAATTCGATCATTCCTTAGCTTCTACGTATATCACGCGCGTGTTTAATTTTGTTTTTTTGTTAATTATATATATTATAATATTGCTGCGATCTGATTTAATTTTCCAGATTGAACCTCATTGGAGACAGGCTCTCTCCCTTAAGAAAGCCCTAGAAGATCAGATTACAAAAGGTGAGTGACATATATATATAGATCTGATTTTTGTTCATTATCATCATCAGATGATGAGATGAGATGATCGAGTAATAGAAATTATTGTTGAATGATATGATATGATCGATGGTGCAGATGGTGTGATTGGAATAGGCATCACTGCAACCGCGGTTGGGCTACTGGCTGGGATTATCGCCGCACTCACTCCAAACAACTAACTCATCCCATCCGTCCATAAATCACCTTCACATCAGATCCAACGGTGCATGCATCAACTGCCTGCCATTTCAGTCTGTCATATCACCTCCCCTGCTTAACTATCAACTTATACCATTCCCATTGGTTGATCAGATTTAATCTTTTATGATTAATGTTCCCAGTAATTATATAATAATATTATCAATTTTTGGGAGAACAATAATGACCAGTGCAATTCTGCATGCCCACAGCTCAACGTAACTCAACTAAAAGTATGCATATGTATATATGCTGATGACTTTTAATTTTCAGCATAAATGGAAATTATCCAAAAAGATAAAATTCATATATACGTATTATATATTCACTTTAATCTCTGGGATTAAAAAAATAATAATAATATAAACCACTATGCATCAGACTATCAGCACTCATGCAACTTTTCACTTTTGAACATCACAAAATTTGCAATTATTCACTCTTCATTCTTCATCCATACAATTCTCTCTCATCTTTTAAAAATAGTAACCCCACTATCACATCGACGTATAAAAAATGTAAAAGCTGCAAGAATTGACAATTCTGACATCCAAATTGCAATTGTTGCCATTTGACCTTTTAGAGTTTCTATACGCAATGTCTAAAAAAAATGTCACATCAGCTTTGCAATTGGAATGAAATCATGGATTCAGATGGTCTCATTCAGTCAGGCCATGCCCAACCCAAAAGGTCACTAACTACCTCAAGACGTATACTAAATGGTGAGCTAGATGAAGCTCTAACACCATCGATAAGAATCCATGGCACAATAAAATGTATGGAAATTATAATCATTGTAAAGAATAGGTAATAATTGCCCTCAATGTCTTATACATATAATATTGCAATTATTATTATTTGTAATAAGTCAGAACATTATTCAATACAACCCCTAGTCACGTTTAAGCATAACAATTCATTTTAATCACCATTAATTAAGTTCTTTAAAACATAGGTAGGTGTGAGCATTCTTGGAGACTTACATTGCTCATATACTATATGTTCACTCACCTCTAGGGGTGTAATTACTCCATTAGAAGTAACCTTAAAATATTGTTTAATGAGTTAATTACCAAAATGATCCCTTGATTATTGCAAAATTACCAATTTGATCATCGACTATTTTTTTTTTACCCAATAAAATTCTCGACTTTGAAAATTTTAACCAATATGGTCTTCCGTTAAGTTTGGGGTCTAGGTCTGTTAAAGTCGAGGGTAATAAAGGAATTTTACGATTTATGCTCTAGTGTGGAGATGGCATCCAATGAACCCTCATCATCCTCGAAAACTTCTTAATCGTCGTCGTCATGGATAACTCGTTGTCGAAGGAGAGGGTGAAGTCCCTCTCCTCCGGCGGAGGTGGTTCCGACGAGCCTGCTTTCAAGTGCTTCTGATCCCGCTTTTCGATTTGAAGAAGAAGGTTGTAGCCGGGCTTTGCAAAAGTTGCGAAAGGGAAGGGCAATGGAGGTCATTTTTCCGTTTTTTCTGTTTCATTGGTTTTCCCCCTTCTTGTATTACTACCCATCAAATTCGGCCACTGGCTTCAATGTTACGCCAAACCAGCTGTGAGCTGTGAACTGTCCTTAATTTAATGAAGAAATTAAAGTTTTGAGTTTTGCAAGTCAAATAAGCTATGTGTGTTAAATATTAATGTTGTCCTCTTTCTTTATTCATTAAAAAAAAAAAAAAACATTTGCAGTGCTGATGAAGGGGCTTTGGGTATGTGTTCAGGTACTTGGTTTTAGGCCAGGCTTGTTGCCAGTTGGGTCTAATGGAGGATGCTTTGGTTTTGTTACAGACGGGCAAACGCACTGCCACCGATGCCTTCGGCCGCGAGAGTATTTGCTTGTCCGATGACAATTTTTCTTTCACTAGATTCCCGCTGACCGGAGAGATTTTTGCCGCTGGTGCCCAGCTGCAAGCGCCGCCAATAACCGAATCCGAAAGCATTTCCCAGTTGCTCAACCACATCAAGCTGCTGCTCCGTCGCAGGACCGTCGCAATCACAGCCCTTAACACTAGCCTCTATTCCCAAGCCATTCGATACTTCTCCAAGGTTGTTCCCCAAATTGACCGGGTACTTGATTGTGCCATCTTCACACAAGACCATGAACTTGTGAAATTCCTTTATTACTCTCGATTTTAACAGACTTTAGACCCCAAACTTAACGGAGGACCATATTGGTTAACTTTTACAAAGTCGAAGACTTTATTGGGTAAAAAAATAGTCGATGACCAAATTGATAATTTCGCAATAGTCAATGGACCATTTAATTAACTCAAATAAAAGCCTTACAACCTCACTTTTGCCTTATACCACATAATTATTGCATTTTGATTTCAAATAGGGCCTAACCTTCAACCAAATTAAACAAACCAATCAAAACCAAGAACATGTGCATAAAGAAAGTAAACATAGGGCATTTGGAAAAACTAAATATTCGCTAAGAACGAATTTACCAAAACATATTTCTACAAGGGGACGTTTGGTTCACGGAATGTTAGATTACCTTAGGAAATGTTAGATTGCTGAGAATGTTAGATTATTAGGGAAATGTTAGATTCCTGTGTTTGGTTTAAAACTAAGATATGTAAATAAGACAACGGTAATAAGATAAATTGATTAAAACGTCCAAAGCCCAACATTAGTAATAAGACAAGAGAATGTGAGATTACCTAAGAAATTGGAGGGTATCTCACATTCCCTTCCAATATCTAAAAACTTAATGCGGAGGTTATCTAACATTCCCGGGAAAAGTTACATAACATGAACCAAACATGAGAATCTTATATTACCAAGCAAATATAACAGTGGTTGTATTATATAACCTGAACCAAACGCCCCATTAATGTTATCAATTAGTTATACCATCTAATTAATTCAATCAACTAATAGATATCAGCTAACAATCATTTACCAAACAATACCAATATATATACAATTGTAGAAAATTATTATTCAGTAGAGTATTTATATATTTTTTGAAAATCTATTCCATTTATATTTTTAAAATTCTTTAACCCAACCACATAGTAAAATGTCATTCATACATTCTATTTCTTCACCAAATCAAACAATAGAATAAAATTCATATTTACTTATTTTATCTCATATGAAATAATATTCCCATTCCCTCAAAATTCATTATGTGAACGAAACGTGGTGCTGTAATTTTTTGTTTAATAAAATATTTTATAAGATCAATTAAATAATTGCGGTTGTTATACGGTTAATTTATTAAAGGCCCTTAGGTATGCGATTTTATTTTTTATGGATATAATTACTGAATTCCAGTTTTATTAATAAATTACGATGTTAAAAAAAAAAAAAAAAAAAAAAAAAAAAAAAAAAAAAAACCCTGCCCGTACGTGTTTAGGGGTCCAAGAGAAATCGTGGCTGACTGGTTGGTGTGGAAAATGCAGTGCTTAATTTATTTATTTTTAAAATTACAAATAAAAACCCAAACGCATGGGGGTTTCCACTTTCCAATGAACACTTCGGACTTTCGGATCAACCAATGCCAAGAATCAAACCCTACTTATCCACTACACAGTGATTGAACAAGTTGCCTGAGCTGCGATGGCAAATTCCGGCGGCAGCGGGTCGGAAGATTTCTCGGTGTTGGTGTTAGCCTCGGATTTAGGCGTAGACGCCCGGCCCTTTCTGTCCCAAACGGAGCAAGAACAGGGGGAAGAGTGCTGGCACGACTGCCCCTCCGACGTCCATGAAGACTTCTCCGACCTCGATGCCCTCCAATTCTTCCGCCTCGAGCGGGGCTCCGATGTTGCCGGCAATCGGATCTTCCGGATCGTCGGAAAATACTTTCCAGGTACTTCGCTCCGGCCTTCCTTTGCAATTCATTTAATTTAACTTTTTGTTTTGTTTGGAAATGATTGATTATGTTGTGAGCTTGAAGTGAGTGTTTTCGAAATTTAGCCGAGCTTGCTGCATCTCTAATGAAATGAATGTTTTCTATTACTCTGATGTGATCTTATCCTGTGAATTCGTGACATAATCACTGCCTGAAGTCCAGTGATGTTCATGTTCTTATGTGATAAATTGTGTGCAGCTCTTGTAATCAGCGCGGAGCGGCTGAAGAAATATGTTGTCCACAAAATTCTGACAGAGATGCCAGAAGGACCTTTCTGTGTTGCGTACATTCATACTACTGTGAAAGGGGAAGATAACAATCCCGGCATGACCATATTGAGGTGGATTTATGAAGCTCTGCCACCTGAACATAAGGATAGGCTTCAGGTTCTGTACTTTATCCATCCTGGAATCAGATCGAGGCTTGTTATTGCTACACTAGGCAGATTCTTCCTAAGCGGAGGGTAAGTTTTTCTTTTATGTTCCTTTCTAAATTATGTCTACAGATCTTTTAAGCTATTAGTAGCTATGGTTGCTTTTAATGCATATTTCTGACAAACTGAGTTTGTCTAGTTAAGCAAATTAAATAATTCTGAATAAACGGAACTGCATTTCTCTCCTAGCGGTATTAGCTGTGTATTTAAGTTAAGCCAGAGGTGTTGCTGATTTGGTGTTAGCATCAATATGAACTGCATTTTCTTTTATATTTTACTGTTTGAATCATGATTGATAAACAAATTCTTTGCAGGCTTATTTGTCTTATATTTTCTGATTGACTGACAGATGATACACAATTATGCACCCATGCCTCCTCGTATATATACATGTAGACTCTATTACAATGTTTACTTCTAGTGTATTCTCATCAAAGTTTATGGTTAATCAGACTCTTATCAAAGTTATTTGCAACTCAATTCATGTCTGTCTATACATGTTTAATGTGCTTACTATCTTTCCTCTTGTTTTCCCGTAGCTTATATTGGAAAATTAAGTATGTTAGTCGCCTACAGTACCTTTGGGATGATATAAAGAAAGGCCAGCTTGAAATTCCTGATTTTGTTGAAAAACATGACGATCTTCTGGAGCACAGGCCATTGACAGATTATGGAATTGAACCGGATCCATTGCATCTAAATGAGGTGCCTCTGCCGGGCTACTCAATGGGGAGGTTCCACTCCCGATGGGATTATAGAGAGGCGATGTCGTGAGCGAGAGCAGCTATCTGCTCCAACAGTGGTAAGATCTTTGTATGTTAGTAGAAAAAAATGTTTCAATGCTTGAAACATTGGTGTTCTTGTAATAGATTTGTCTAG